ACCTTCAGAAGGTCAACGAGGTGACGATACGAGACGTGGGCTCCGTGCCACACGCCGATTTACTGGCAGAAGGCGCCGCAGGTAGGTCGATCTATTCCGTCTGTGATCTGTTCTCAGGCTATGATGAGGTACCGCTTGACCCTAGGGACAGGCACCTCACGGCTATGCATACGCCATTGGGACTAATACAGATGATGGTTGTCCCTATGGGGTGGACTAATGGCGTAGCCGTTTTTCAGAGAGCCATGGTGGCCGTCCTCAAGGACTTCATCCCTGATAAGATTGAAGTTTTTCTGGACGACTTTCCTATAAAAGGGCCAGTAGACAGGGATGAGACAGAGGTTGTACCTGGAGTTAGAAGATTCGTCGAGCAGCACCTAACAGATATTTGGGCGGTACTCGAGCAGCTGGACGATGCGAATTTGACAGTCAGCGGAACCAAGAGCCGATGGGCCGTCTCTGCTATTAAGATCTTGGGCTTTATATGTGACTCGAGAGGACGCCGAGCAGACCCGGCGAAGTTAGACAAGCTCCTGAACTGGCTGTCACCGTTACATAGTCCAACCGAGGTCCGGCAGTTTCTGGGAGTGGTCAGTTACTGGCGTATATTTATACGGGGGTATGCAGAGAAGGCTGAGCCATTGAGGTTACTCCTTCGAAAGACTGAAAAATTYTACTGGGATACTTCGCAGGAACTCGCAATGCAAGAACTTAAAGCTGAATTTAAGGAGGGAGGTCGCGTGTTGGGCGTGCCATTCTTTGACGATGAGACCGAGAGACCCTTCATAGTATCCACGGATGCTGGACCATGTTCAGTGGGTGGTTTGCTGTCACAGAAGGACGCTGGAGGGAAGGAAAGACCGTTGAGATTTGAGAGTGAGACACTTAATACGGCTGAGCGCAACTACAGTCAATTCAAGAAGGAAGTGTTAGCTGTTGTCCGGTGTCTAGATACGTTCAGACACTATATCTATGGGCGACGGTTCATCTTGAGAGTAGACCCCACCGCGGTTGCCTCTGTCCTCCAGAAGGACTTTAGTCTGACGGACCCGACCATCGCCCGATGGTTAATACGGATTCGGTTATACGATTACACGGTTGAGAGAGTATCTGGTACGAAAAATGCTGTGGCAGATGGACTTTCACGCATCCCTCTCAAGCGTCCGATAGTAGCTGGGGCTCTAACGATGTCAGAACCGAGGCGTGTCGAGAGATTTCTAGTTAATCTTTACGAGGGCAAGTACCGAATGATTGGACTACACCTGACGGGAGAGGAGAGTCAAGATTCAGAAATCCGGAGGCAAGCAGCCCAGTACTGCCTTAGAGCGGGCCACCTTTTCCGAAGGCCAGTAGGGTCGGGAATGCTCTTACGAGTAGTCTGTGATCCTGAGGAAAGACAAATGATAGTTGTGGAACTTCACGACGGGGTAGTCGGAGGACACCGGGGAGTTAAAGGAACCTACGAAAAGATACGCCTGCTGCACTGGTGGGAAGGACAGTATAAGGATGTCGAGAGGTACTGTATGACATGCGAAAAGTGCCAGAAGAGTACTTATCTAGGTATGGTTGTGTCAGTAAAATAGTGATGGACAGAGGGGCGGAATTCCTAGCCGACGAGGTTCAGAGCGTGTTAGGAGAGCGGGTGCGAGAGTTTCGATAGCCACCGCCTATCACCCACAGTCGAACTCCCCAGTAGAGAGGGGACACCAGACTCTGATAGCGTCACTATCCAAGTGGTGCAAGGGTAAGGACAGTGATTGGCCACGATATTTTCGATACGCAATATGGGCGGACAACGTCACGGTCCGGGCTAGTACCGGATACCCACCGTTCACCTTGTGGTTTGGGCGACATTGTCCGCTTCCCATAGAATTTCACGTCAGCAGCTGGACAACCATCGACAGGGCGGAGGAAATGTCCAGAGAGGAACTCGTAGCTGCCCGAACGAGACAAATAGCCTACGGTTTGGAAGAAGACCTCATGACAGCGGCAGATCGTCTGGTAGTGGAAAGGGAGAAGGGTAAAGAGAGATGGGATAAGAACGTGCGAATCAGGAAAGAGAGGGTGAGCGTAGGAGATATGGTCCTTCTCTACGATGCAGCGCTAGAAAGGACCTGGACTGGAAAGCTTGCCAATAGATGGATGGGACCTTACAGAGTGGTTGAGGCACTTGACTGGGGTGCATATATGATAGCAGAACTAGACGGATCTAAGTGGAAGGACCCAGTGGCGGGGGCTAGGATAAAGCTGTTTAGGCCCAGGCCCACGCCCGCTTTATCACTAACCAGCCCGAAAGGGAAAGGGAAAGCCGTGATGGAGGATGGAGCGCCCTTGAGGCGATTCGAACCAAGAGAGAGTTCCAAGAAAAGGAAAAGAGTAAAGAAGAGAAAGGTCAAAGGGGTAGCTTTAGGAAGAAAGAAGAGATGGTTATTCGTGCTTAAGCGAGCTAGACGGAGAGTTCGCGTTAGACGTATTGGCCGGTCGACACCCTTCTCGGGGCAAAGACAAAAGAAAAAGAGGATCGTGCCGGGGCCAAAACCCAGGAGAAACAGGAGAGTCAAGAAGCATCTTCTTAGCCCCATGACTCATAACAAACTGAAACATAAGACAAATGGACGCCGTCGTGGGCGTCCTTTACGGGCCTTTACCCTGAAGCTCGTCCTCTTCGTCTGACGTAAGTTGCTAGGGCTCAACGGGGGTGTCAAGAAGTGGTCCGGGCCAACTGTCAGGCGGCCGCAAGCAGTGCGCCGCCTGAGATCTGCAGTTTTGGGACTTAGGCTCAGGGACAAGTCCGTGTTTTTGCGGCATACGACCGGGGCCGAAATGAGGCCTCAAATTTTTGTCTAATTTTGTACCTAAACTAAAGATGGGAGAAAGATTGGGAACAGTAGGGCGGAAGAGAAAAACGTAATATCCCTTAGTTCCCTTATTTTTCACGGCATTTAAATTTTGAGGGAAATACCTCGTTATTTTATGTTTCTGGCAATAAAAAAAAAAAAAAAAACCCAGAGAGAAAGATTTAAAATGGCCCAGAATTCATTTTTGGCGAACCTATAGCTAATTCATTATTTCAGACGATAGAATTAAGGAAAAGGGAGAACGATTAAAAATAGTGGAACAAATAGGAGCTAATGATAATTCGATGCCTGGGTCTGGTTTTGCACGGGATATCCACCGTCAGCTCAGAACCCGGATTTGATCAAATTCCCTGAGCTCTAACTTTTCTTTTGCTATTCCCCCGATGATCGAAACTCTCTATGACTATTTACCTGATTACTAACCTTACTGAGCTCGGCGGTACGGACGATGACCACATGGATATGGGCAGCGTGGGATCGTGTTACATTGGACCGTCAGCATGATGTCAGGTTCGGTACCGGACATGTTTGCGGTTCGGCCTGAGCCGGTATCGGCGTACTTCAGGTTCGGGCACCAGGGTGATTTATTTCCAGGGTCGGCATCATCACGGTTATTTATTTCAGGATCAACATCATCATGGCTATTTGTTTCAGGGCCGGAACCGCCACGGTGGCTTACTCTCAGGTCTGGAGCCACTATGACGATGTATATCAGATTCGGAACCTGGACGGCAGGTTATTCCAGGTTCGGCGCTATCACGGGTATTTAACTCAGGCTCAGCACCGACATCCTCAGGTACGGCATGGGCACGRCATAGGCACGGTACGGTTGTCTCTTATTCGGGTTTGGTTCGGTATCAGATGCGGTTYGACGACGATATAAGCAACGACTCAAGAGGGTTAGAGCGATATGGCACGGGCCGCARCAGTTCGAGGYGGTTGTTTCACGGGTTGGCGTTGAATCAGCGTGCACACGATCATTGGTTGGTGGGAGCTGCTAAGGCATTGAGTACGGGAMAACTTTTATTCTCTAGTGCTGGATGACACTAGGCTGATGCTAGTGGCTGCAGAACCGTCACACAGTCSGTAACAGTTCCCGTATGGGAATRACACGTGTGGTGCGCCGCTGAGCCTAAAAAATGACTAATTTTGGATATAACTACAAGTCTAAYTTCGATGTGGTGACGGCACAGTCGACCGCAGCCTGCGACACATGCT